TTGTTTTATTTTGTCTAATTAATAATTTAGTCTTATTTTAAAATCGACATCACTTTTGAATTTATAAAAGCAGAAAATTATGTGGAAAGAACAAAATGATCTCTGTTTTTTTTTAAATAAATATTCTTATTGTTGTTCTAAAGAATTAATTAATTTTAATATCTACATAGTTCAACAATAATCAATCATTATTTATCGATGCAAAACAACATCCAGAAATGCCCGCTAAAATACGAGATCTGTTAAAAGAGGTTGGTGATGAACCTATTCTTAAAATTCAACTTGGTCGTAGACCTGTTAAAGAATTTGCTCTTAACATACTAGACTATTTAAGTGATTCAAAATTTCTTGATAAACAAGATGAACTTGGTTATGATGAAATCTATCACAATTATTTACTTATTACTATTCAAAATAATCATGGATTCAATGTATTACAACATATACTTGACAATGCTCCATAAAATAAAAATGGTAGAACAGTACTTGTACTTGAAAAATCATACCGTATTAGTCTTAGATATCCTATTATACCGGATGAAACAACCGATGTATACGATATTCCATTATCACCAGATAAGCCATTAACACTCAATCAATTAATTACAACAGATTTGAATGCTGACAAAAATTTTTTCGTATATGATGCTGGTGAAAATAATATGTGTCAAACATTTGTTGAAAATATTATTGAAAGCAATGGATTGATGCCTAACATTGTTGATCAAGCAACATTGGATGCTCTCAAACCAATCGATTCTAAAGAATTGATTTCTGCACTAAAAAATCTATCTAAAGTTGTTAAACTCGGGACTGATTTAGCTGCGAAATTAAGTCGATTAGTATTGGATCATAAGATTAAATTGAGAAAAACTGAAGCAAAAGAATTTATTTCATTGCGCAATGCCAAAATGATTACTTCAAAAAGTACCCATAATATAAACAAAGCGCTTTCTTAACTGCAAAACAATCGTAAGAGTAGAAAACATAACAAACTCTATTACTCATATATTATTTTTTTTTGGTGTAGTGCGGTTAACTTCTCAATATTGATCATCATTCAAATTATCATTGAAATCTATGTTTCAAGAAAGAAAAATGCAAAAGTAATGATATAAAATGTGAGCTCCTATTTCTCTTTAAGAGACAGGAGCTGTAAGAAAATCTTTTTCACAAAAAGATAGAGCTTTTTTGATGTGTAATTTATATTTTTAAACACATTTGTAGACGGAATGGCACAATAAAAAAAGGAAAGACACACTGTAAAAAACATATCGGTAATTTTCGTGGAATTTAGAGAAACAGCGAAAGATGTTGATTACTAAATTTCTAATATAGATCGTCAATAAACATATTTTTCTCCTTTTTTTCAACGGTGTATTATTCATGTGCGTCTCACATTCATAAATCAAATGAGACAAAGACGAAAGACAAGTATTGGCACGATAAATTAGTAGGCTTTATATGAATTCATCAAAAACATAGTGCAAGACAAAAAGAATTAATTTGATCTTTTCGTACTCATTTAGCCCTTTTAAAAACTCGTTAAAAAAGTTGTAAAATGATAGTTAATTATGCCATCCAAAAGACCTTTTTCTCTTATTCATACAGAAACTGCAAATTTTTTGTGTGAGTATTTTTCTTTTCTACTTCACTCATTCAATTTACGAATGTGTGACAAACAGAAATCTCAAATTATTCGAAAGAGGAGAAAAAGCGCTATCTTTTTGTAAAAAAATTTTCCATACAGCACCCGTTTTGTGCCATTACCTTTGCATCCTACGTTAATTTCATAATAATAATTAGAAATATTTTTTTGAATCAATAAAATAAAATGTAGTGTTTAGTGCTCGGAAAGAGTTTCAATATTTCATTCATCAACGAAAGATTTACAAATTCTGTTCAAAATTATTACCGTTCATTTCAATACACAAAAGTAGTCTTTCTCAATATCTATGGATATATTGCAAGACTATTCTGTAAAAAATGAAAAACTTTCGATCTGTTATTTCGGTTAGATCTTATATGGGTGAGTGTGGGAGTGGGTGTGGGTGTGGTGGGTGTGGGTGTGGGTGGGTGGGGTGTAAGTGTGGGTGTAAGTGTGGGTGTGAGTGTGGGTGTGGGTGTGGGTGGGTGGGAGTGTGGGTGTGGGTGTGGGTGGGTGGGAGTGTGGGTATGTGGATGTGGGTGACTGCGAGTCTGATTCTTTCTTTTTCTCACACCGGCAGTCATACCCTACCCCACTCACACCAACACACACCCACACCTACACTACACACCTACCCACACTCACACCCCAGCCACACCCACACCCAACTGTACTGTTTACTAATGAATAATTTTTAATTATTGATGGAACGAGGTATACAACCTTCTATACTACCACTTCCATGATGTCTAGATGCACGTATTCAAAAGAGTGATGTGTAAAAAAAACAAATATGGTACTGAAAGTGAATCTAAATTCTGTAATAGATATAGGTGGATCAGAAAAACGTCAGCAAGTGAATCCTACATTAAAAAAAAGATTTCTGAAAATAAACCGAGCGAATGGTTCGTCTGCCACGAGGAATCATGAGCTTTTGCTTTTAAACTGATTGAATGGTGATATTTATCATGTTTTCTAACATAGAAACATAATTAATAATATGCCTGATCTAATTTAATTATTTTAATTATCAAAGTACTAGCAAATTGTAAATACTACAATTGTCCGAGATCTGTTTGTTAGAAACCATACAGAAAACTCCTGTTTATGAACCAAATAGTAGATCCTCGATTATTATAATACGAACAAAAGAAGACACATTTGAGTGTGTAGGTATGAATGTTCTCTTGGATCTCAGTAGCAACACTATCCACACGTTATACAAATACCGAAATTAAATAGAGGATAAAATCATACTGTAATAAATATAGAAATGAATAGAATCGTTAATGAATCATATTGAGTATTAAATCAAGGTATCTAAAGAAAAAAAAGCCAACATCAACGAATGTGATTGATGTCGTAAATAGAAGAGAAACCATTCACCAATTACCTTTTCGAATTTCAATAATTAATCTTGATTAAAGAATATCTGATGTGAGCTATGTCATACAAATTGCTACTTTACACATAACATTATAGAATCGAAAGTAAAAATTTTTTTTCTCTTTCATTTTCATAGGATAGTCAAAAAGCAACAAGGTTAAATCGGCGAAATAGAACATAAAAAGATACGTCACATGGCCATTGAAGCATGTTTATAAGAAACATAAATTTCAATGTAGCGTTAAAAAACATTGAATCTTGCTTTCGCTTTACTTTACACTCATAAAAGTAAACGTCAAATAACGAATGATTATGTCTCTTGCTTGGTTGTTTTTATTTCTTAAATATTCTATTCTTAATCATTATTTCAGAGCTTTCATCTTCTTGATTTGCTTCGATTCATTTTTAGAAATCTCAAGACAGTAATTTGAATCATCACCTATGAGTGCACAACCTTCGTTGAAAATTGGCGCCAACAAGGAATTAACAGGACGAGGTTTGTTCGTTTTCTTGTTATTCGTATTTTCAATGAAATAAACCATTGTTATTTTCAGATATAGAAATATTGAAAATTCGTTCTCTACTCGACGAAAAAAGTAATTGAAATCTATTTATCTGATGCATCGACTGATTTCCTTTTTTTTGGGTTATTTCAGAAATTCGAGAAATACATTCAGTAAATATAAAATATGATGAAATATAATTGGTATCTATTGTTATTTTTCTCTCCTAAGGAATTCTGGTCTAATTATCCAGATGGCAGGATAACCTCAAATCAATACGAAGATTTCGTTCAACGTTTAGACCCGAATAGTATTATAAGAAAACTTCATCATGAGTATGTGCATTTCTTTATTATGTATTGTTTTGATTAAAGATATAAAAAATCACGAAATCATTTTTAATGAGCGTGTTACATATGAAAATTAAAATAAAATTTTCTAACATATTTTTTATGCACTGTCTAATTATCTATTGCTTGCATTTGTGGATTGAGATGATTTTTCTTTTCTTGATATCTGTTTACAGACTTAAATACAAATTAGACATATCAATTTCTTATGTTTTGTTTTTCTTAATTTCGTATATTGAATTCTACGAGATTGTAGTAGTGAATTTTAATATTTATTTTCTCTGTGAAGCAAAACATCTAGCAGTCAATAATTAATAGAAAAGTGTAAATCCAAGGAAATCCTTAGAATAAATGAAAAGTTTATATTTGACCATTTGTATCGTATATTATTTATATTGTCTCATTCACCTGACGGATTCATTCTTTTTAAGACTTGGATTTCTTCTCTTTGATACTGATCGTGATGGAAAAATTGATTTTGTGGAATTTTTAATGGCTAAAGCTTTTGCAAACTCGAAGACAAGGCACGAAGCATTAAGCTATGTATTCGATATGTAAGTAATAAGTTCTTAGACTTCTGTTTTATGTTTACTTAATTTTCATCTTGGTTCAGGGTCGATTATAATCAAGATGGGCGGATGGACTTGAATGAATTATTATATTTTAGTTCCATTGCTGTAAGTTGTCTCATAAAATTTCTGCAATCATTACCTATAAACACAAATTCGCTTATGTTTTCTTTTTTTAGAGTGCTAGCGCGAAGAGCACTTTACATACGTCGACTTTTAAAGCGATCGGCCTTGCTGCAGATATTGCTCGTTTTATCGGCATGAAAGTGGAGAAAAAATTGACGAAAGAAGAATTTATTGCAGAGTATTCTCTCTTTTTATTGTCTCATTTAGAAATGAATTAAGTTGTTGTTTCTTTTTTAGGTGTGAGAAAAATCTAATACTCAGTAAATTGTTCGAAGTCAACAACTGAATATCTGATTGATTATTCTCTTACATCAAAAAAACATATTCTTATTGACTATACAAGTTTTTCTTTTAATGTATTTTTTTATGATAGTTTCTGGTGAACGCTTTATTTTTCATTTCATACAGTTAAAAACAAATAAAAATCGAGATATACTTTTCAATGCTATAGTGGAAAGAATAAATATTACAAAGTATCGTCCTTTATGCTTATGTAAGAAACATGCAGAATAGTTCTATACGAAAGAAGTTTAGAAACGTCGAAATGATAGATGTTTTTAAATAGTATGAATTGTTTGCTTATACAATCTTCTCGAATATCTATTACAACGATTGGTCACTGTGTGTTAAAATCATATATGCAGATAATCAGCTAGGTATAAGATAAAAATCATTAATAAAAAGACTCGTTTTCATATGTGGAGATATGTCTCAGAGTAGAGCATATGAAAATCTGTACTTGTATTCTAAACAAAATGTTTGTGAATTTAGTGAATGATTTTATTTTCTTCTCGTTGTTCTTATACTCATACAAAAAAAAAGTCTCATGTTGGTTTTTACCTAGAAAAAAGTCATTTTGTGATGATGTGTATGTTATCTTGT